AGGGCAGTCTGGTTTTCCCGATTACGTGACTCGGGTCTGAGCAGTGCTGCCTTTGGGAGAAGGAAAGACGGACCAGGACACACCCTGGTCTCGGGGTGCTGGTACCGAGACGACACCCCCATGTCCTCTGCATACAGATGTTTGCATCTGTTGCCCTCCCTGCAGGAAGCTGCAGGCCTGTGAGTCCCACCTGGCTTGGAGGGACAGGGGTGTGCATAGTGCCACAGCTTTCGTGGGCTTGGCCACGTGATCCACAAGACTGCAGGACACTAAGGGAGGACAATCATCTCTCAGGGTCACCGAGTCACCTCCTTCCTGGGGCACCCCAAGGAGTTCAGGCACAGTCCTAAAACTGCCTCACCTGACTAAGGAGGCACAAGTGCATGGCAGTGCCACCTGAAGGCCAGAGCAGTCTCTTGTGCTCTGCCGCCAGGGCCAGCACCACCATGGCAGAGAAGTCATGTGGGTGGGGTCCAGGAGGCTGCCTTCTCTGCCCCGTCCTTAGCCTCCTGTGATTCTTCTCCGAGAATCACTTCTTGGCTTAACTTCCTCCTCCTTCAGAGCCCCCACACACCATTCATCCGCTTTCCTCCAGCACTCTGAAAAGTGCTCATTTAACTCCACCATTTTTAATCAGAAAATTTAGAATCCTCCCTGTAGCTTGTCTGTTTCGTGGGGGAGGCGAAGGGGGCGCAGGAATCTTTTTGAAGGGATTATTTGAGTGATCATGTGAGCCATAAAGAAGCCAGCACTGAAGTCTAAATTGTCCCACGCAGGAGACAGGAGGCTGTCACCTGGTGTATCCAGGTGGGCACAGTCTTCCAGTAAGTGATGGATTTTTAACATCATGGGTACAGAATCCTGAGACGGAAAGACTCAGAGAAGAGGACGTTTACGCTGAGGATCGCCATGTGGCTCAGCCGTGGAGCACTTGCCCAGCATGCTCAAGGCCTTGGGTTTAATCCCCAGCTGTGAAAGGAGAACCCTTTTGTTTTAAAAGCAAGGCAAAATATTGGCATAGAATAGAGTTTGCCAGAGTCATCCCATTACTGACTCCGATGTTAATATGTTAATAGAAGATCGAGGGTCAAGAAAGGAAGGAAGGTAGAGATGTTGAAGTCAGGCCTGGTTTTAATTTGCATGTGGTTATTTCAACTAGTCAGTGAGATGCGCGCACACACACACACACACACACCCTACCCTGCCACATACCCTGTCCCAGGCATGAATTAATTTTTTAAGGGTCATTAATTTAGCAACTTAACTGACATAACTAGAAAAACTTCAGGCTTGTGCTAGTAAATATTTACCAAGTTAGAGGTGCTTCGGACAGTGCCCCAAAATCACTGGTGCCCTTCCAAAGCAGAGTACTTTCAGGAAATTGATTACTCACTTGAGGAATGAGACCCACACCCAGGCCACTCAGTTTCAACAGACTTCAAAATGCAAACAAGAACCTTCTTGCCTCAGGCTTTCCAACCTTTTCCAGATGGGCCTAGGGGCCTGAGTGTGTCCTTGTGTCCCCAGGGCTGACCGCCTCTGGCCTGTCCTCCCTGGTGCCATGATGAGGTGGCTGTTTCGGGGCGAACTGCTGGGAGGTGGTTTTTCCCCGTTTCCCTTTGCCAGAGGCCCAAAAGGTACAGGAGAAATATCTAGAATCAGAGTGTTCCCCGAGAGGCAGTTCCCTCCCCAAGTTGCCTTTGCTGCTTTCACTTCTGGGCTGCGGCTGCCCGTGGCTGTCTGGAAGCAGAGCTGGGCCTGGGGAAATAGCCTGGCTTGCTGTTTTATTCTCCTAGGCTTGGGCTTTTGCCCCAGTAGCCAAAAGGAGCAGTTAGGAGGCCCACCTAGGTAACCTCCACTTGGGGGTTCAGCAGGGTGCCTCACGGTTAGACCCTGGGCACTCGGTGCTGGGGACTCCCCACTGTTCCCCACTGTGGGCACAGGTTCTCAGAGGACTGTAGGTGGAGCAGGAGGAAGAGAGCCAGGAGACTTCCGGGAACCAGAAATCACATCACCTAGAAAAAATGGGTACGGTTTAGCCTGAAAATGATGGTTTGGGGTATGGCTCATTTTGTGAAGAGGACAACAGATTTATTTTTTCTGTAGTATTTTAGCTTTTTATATAGAACTTTTCTTCCTTTTAAGAAATTAGTATGTTTAGTACAGAATAAATGCATGAATCGTGGGAAATTGGTACAGATAAAATCACAGCTTGGTGCCTTTTACCACCCCCTCCCTGCCGTCCCCCTGTGTCCTTTTGATCGCGGTAAAATATGCATCGTGTAAAATGTGAGTGTGCAGGTGACCACTGAGCCACTAGGATACAGTTCTGTGGCACGAAGTCCCCTCACGAGGTGGAGGCCGTCAGCAGTCCTCTGCTCCCTGCCAGCCTCAGGTGTCCCCCGCTCTGCTTTCCGCCTGTGGATTTGGTCACCCAGCTCCCTCTGACAGCAGAACGCTGTTTGTGTCCAGCTCATTCCGTGAAAGCTCATGCCTGGTTGTCCCTGTGTCACGGTTCCCTCCCTTATCAAGGCACTGCTTGGTGGTCTGTGGATATCTATCTGGGTTGCTTCCCCCTGGCTGCTGTGGACATTAGCATAGAACTAGTTGTTTGTAGATTTATTCTTTGTAGTTACAGGGGGAAAAAATGGGCCTGGGAAGAAGTTGCAGAAAAGTTGGTTGTAGCTTCAGCTCTCTTTCATGTTGGAAGGGCTGCCCCAGGCTGTGAGTCCCCCGGCTGGGAACCATCAAGAAGAAACCACAGGGACACTAAGAGCAGTCCAGGGAGGACTCTTCCGTCCTGGACTCTGTGATCCCCAGGCAGACGGTGTACTGGCTATGACATCAGGGGGAAAGAAGGCTGGGCCGGGCCAGCCTCAGTCTCCTGAAGGGAGAGAGCAAGGGCTGGGAGGGCAGGTTGTCTGCTGGCTGTGAGAAGGGAACTCACTAAGCTGTGCCTGGGCTTCCGGTGAGAGGCGGTACATTCCAGAGTTCCCAGGAAGTTTGCTGGACTCCAGCATCCTGAGTGGAGACTGTGCATTTGGTTTCCCCAGCAGAGGCCTTCAGGTCTGCCTGAAGTGGGGCGTCCCTAGGACACCTCCCCTCTGGTCCCCATTTCCTGGCCAGTTGCACCCATCCGAGGGAGGGCATGAGCCAAGGTAGAGAGTGCTGGACTGGGCATTTCTGGGATGGCTGTGAGCTGAGGTAGGGATGTCCTGGGCTCCTACTCGATTCTCCTCCTCCTGTTACTGCTGGGGGTTTTCTTATCATTCATTGGGAAGGCCTGGCCAGAGAATTCCAGTATTCCAGAGTGAGTTTAATTGTGGGTGATTTCATTCTGCCCTTTTTATGTCAAAGCCAGAGGCTTGCGTCATAGAACAGTGAATTCAGGGAGATTTTTATTTGCATGTGAATCATAGCTTTTCCAGCTGAATGTCACTTACTTGGAATTTTCGTCTGATTTTGTTTTTGTTTTTGTCTCTTGGTGTTTTTCCATCAGGTTCTTTGGCTAACCAGAAAAAGAAGAAGAAGAAAAAAAAAAACCCCAGAGGGAGGGCTCAATCTGACTAGAGCAGGGTTTGAGTTGGCAACACAAAAAGGAGAGTATTATGAATGTGAAAAAAGGAAAACGGATGCTTTATTTTGCTTTGAGGGAGGGACCCAAGCCAAGTCAAATTGAGAGCTCTAATTTGGGAATAGTGTTATTACAGGTCATTGGGAGTTGGTTACGCTCTAAATTGGGAGGCCCGTCACATGAGGAGGGAGAGAAACAGATCACATGGGGGTCAGTCAGGGCTCTTTCACAATGAGGTTTGGTTTTATTTACTACCTGGTTGAAAGGAACTGATGTCAGGTTTGGAGACCAAGTCACCTTTGTGGCTGCTGGTGGCTCCCAGTCCCAGCCCATCCGTTGTTTTATACATGAGCCTGGCCTTCCGATCTGTGTGCTTTCTCGGGCTTTGTTTTGGTCCTGGAATCCTTCCTGTGATTAGTGGAGCGGGCCATATGCTACAGGTTATGCGTCCGTTCTTCATCTTCCTGTCTCGCTCCATCCAGGGGTTGCTTTCTTTCTCCCAAAGACCTCTCCATTTTAGACCTTAAGGTCAAGACATTAGGTAACTGTCCAGTTTTTAGGTCATCTCCCATTTCCTCAGCAGTGTTAAATATCACCTTGCAAAATAAAATAAAAAACCAAAAACAGATGGCCCCACCCTGGGTAGATATGAGAAAGTACCCTTCCTGCTCCTGTTCATCAGTGTCTCATGTTCCCAGCATCTTGGGGAGGACCCACAAGGGTGTGTGTGGTACCGGGCTGGCTTTTCTTGAAGAACCTTAAGTTGGGTTTTTTGCTGCCTATAGCTCTGCCTAGTTAGCTGTGGTTAAAATCAAAACAAAGCAAAACAAAGCAGGCCCCAAAGAATATCTAGAATTCAGTCAGTTCGTTTGACACACACAGCACCTGTGCTCATGGTCCTAAATGGGGCGCCTTACTAAGTCAGTGACACAGTCTTCAGTGCCACCGGACTGTGGCACCCGGAGCTTGCGGTCGAGTTAGGAATAGAAGGTGTGTGGAAACTTTCTATAAAGGGCAGCCGGGTCCCCTGCGCTCAAGTGCACGAGACATCAGGAGCCTGGCACCATTCCCGGCAGTGCCAGAGTACTGGTGTTTGACCTTGGGCAAGTTCCTCCGTGCCTCAGTCTCCCCTGAGTGCCGTGTTGGTTGGGGGAGGGAGGATGCGAAGCGGAGGGGATGCCTGACACTTCCACGCTGTCAGGTACACAGAGGGAGCCTGTCACTGCCTGCCCCGGTCGGGGTCACTGTGGGCCCCTGTGACGTCACAGTGGCAGGCAGAAGCGCGATAGTGATGCGCATGTGCAGTGGACACCGGAGGAGGGGAGCGGAGGCGGAGGACAAAGTGGAGAGGGAGGAGGTGGAGCGAGCTCTTCTGTGACAATTCCACCAACGCACACGTTTTCTCTGACACCTGGCTCAGCTGTAACGCGATCGGCTCCACATAACCTGTCCAGCATCTGAGCCCTCCCTGCTAAACTCAGCAAAATACTGCAGTCCTCTGATCAAGAGAACTTTGCTCCCCTTGCCGCACAGCTCCTGGCTCATCCTTCGACCAGTAAGTGAGCGCTGCTTCACCACACAGCTCTCCGGAGCGGCCCCTACAGGTAACGCCCTGGCTCGAAGGTCTGGGGTGCCCTTGGGCCACCAGCGGACTAACCTCAACCTGCTGCCTCAAAGCATCGCAGCAGGGCTGGGTGTGGTGGCACATGCCTGGAATCCCAGCACTCTGGAGGCTGAGGCAGGAGGATCGCTGTGAGTTCGAGACCAGCCTGGACTACATAGTGAGTTCTAGGTCAGTCTCAACTACATAGTGAGACCCTGTCTCAAAAAAACAAAAAACAAACAAACAAAAAAACCCAGCGCCATAGGATGCAGGAGCCACCAAAGTCTTGCTCATCAGAATTTCTGTATCTTCCTTAATGTCACTCTTAAAACCCAAATGGGCCAAATGGTGGTTTCTCTATCGACCTTTAGAAGGACTGTCAGTCCTTCTCACGGGCTACATTGCTCTAGACCAAAAGCCTGAGCGCTCGATCAGTCCTGCCCCAGAAATATTACAATATTTTGCTTGCCTACTGTTTTCAATTCAACTACTTCCTCTTAAAAATCCTTGCCACTCTGCCTTGACTAGTTCAATCCTTTCTCCTGGGAAGAACTCTTTTTTCCCATCTGGTTTCATATCATTCTCACTTTCTGATCATCGCAAGGCTCGAAACGGCCCGCTGTTCTGAGTTCTGTCTGCCCAGAGCCTGGATCTTGGTCACCCGGAGGACTCGTTAACAGTGTCTGATTCAGTGGCTCTAGGGTGGGAGGCGGCAATGCGGTTCTCATCCGTTCCCAGGCGCCGCCCCTCTACACAGTTGGAACCGGTGTCTCAGGGCTGGGGTCGCCACCCCGCAGGAGAGAGCCCCGTGGGACAGGATGTTGTCTGGACCATCCCTGGACGATGGTGCCAATAGCTAGCAAGTGGACGGCCCTCACTGTAGGCCAGATGAAGGGTCCATGCTTCAGCGAGATACTCCAGAGCACACGGCCATCCTGTGAGAGCTGCCATTCTCCCGCTGAGAAAGCTGAAGCTCAAAGTGGCTCCGTAGCTTGTCCGAGTTCCCACGGCTGACTCAGTGCAGGATCTGGGATTCAAATTCAGGTGATACAGCAGAGTCTGGTCTGATTCATTCTGCTTTGTTGTCCTCCTTTTCCTTTGTTCCAAGTCACTCAGAACACCCGAAACTCCTACAACTCTTGGAAATACCTTCGAGAGGTGCGTCTGAGATAACAGCCTGTCTCAGGTGCTTACACCCAGGATTTGGGGATCTGGGTCTCCGAGGGACTCGGCAGACTTACCGTGCCGTGCGGGAGTCGCGGCCAGAGAAGGGTTAGAACGGATCCCTGAGGCAGGAGCGTGCTGGGAGGGTGGCCTCAGAGGGCCATAGCAGCGTCTGATAGGAACACGCTGGGGCATCTGCCTGACCAGGTGAGGACGAGAGGAGAGAAGCCATCCGGGCAGGTGAGAGCCTCTGTCCTCACCCTCCAGAGCCTGCAGTCTGACCAGAGAGTGTCGTACAGTGCCCGAGTCCTTGAGGGTCCCTGTGGGAGGAAGCAGCAGGCTGGGGAGGGAGGCGGATGCTTACGCTGCATCATGAATGATGATGGGGTGGAGGGAGGTTTGGAGGTGCAGCACGCAGTCTGTCCGCAGCAGAGTGCCGGATGACAGGAAACGGTGAGCTTTTTCAAAGAGCTGAAGGCTAGGTCTCCGCTGGTATAGCGATGATGATGAAGTCTCTGTGGGTTTTTTGTTTTCTTGCTAAGTTTTTTTTTTAATTCATTAAGTTTGTTGGTGCATTGTAGGTGTGCATTATGGTGACATTCATCTTTGGGAATTTGTACCTGTACATGATATATATCTTGGTTCTTATTTTTCCCCTACTCCCCTTCCCTCCCTTCAACCCCTCCACCCCCCCTATATACATAAGCTTTGTTTCCATTTTCTCCTTTTTTCCTCCATTTTTTTCTTTCCCTTCTCCTCCCCACCCCCACCACCCTAGTTCCCCTTCCTTTTTTAATGTTTTCTTCCTATTTCACCATAATCTATCCTTTATTTTGGTCCTCATTAATTCAGTATTTACACATATGTGTGTGTGATGTATTTCACTAAAGAGTATGGCTTCAGTGTGCATCCATTTAGATATAATTGTCTCTAGTTTATTTAATGACTGAGTAGAAATCTATTCTATTAAAAAAAAAAAAAAAGCATATCTTCACCCAGTCCTCAGTTGATGAGCATCTGAGCTGTTTCCAAGATTTAGCTGTTACAAACTGTGCCACTATAAACATGGGTGCCATGCAAATATCGCTGTGGTAGGATACTTTTTAATTCTTTCAGGAATATTCCCAGAAGGAGAATAGCTGGGTCAAATAGGACTTCTAATCCTGGTTTTCTTGAGGAATCTCCACACTGGTATCCACAGTGGTTGCACCAGTCTGCACTCCCACCAACAGTGGAGAAGGGTTCCCTTTCTCCCCACAGCCCCGCCAGCATTTGTTATTGGTTGACTTCATGATAGCAGCCATTCTTTCTGGAGTGAGGTAGAATCTCAACGTAGTTTTCATTTGCGTCTCTTGAATGACTGGTGATGTTGAATGTCTTTTTCATATATCTATTTGCTGCGTCTACTTACTCATCTGAGAAATGTTCATTCATTTCAGATGCCCGTTCTTGGATTGGGTCAGGGTGCTTCTTTAGAAAATGAGTTCTGACTCTTAACAGCATTGCCTTTGATTTTAGAAATGGAGGCCTTCTCAAAGTGTTTCTCCACCTCTCTGGCCTGATTCTCCTCAGATCCTTTGTATGATAGGTAAAGAACTTTCCCTACAGCTGTGATGCTGTAAACCCCATTGAAAAGGACTTATGCCAGCACTAAGCCATATACTTCGGCAGGGACCACAGATAGATGTGTCCCCACCTCCCAAAATGACAATATGAAGCTAGATCAAAACACTGAGCTCTTGTCTTTTGCCACTAAGTCCTCTATTGCCAAAGGTCCTCATCTGGTTAGTCCTTCTGCTTCTGGCCCAGCCATTGACCTCTGGGTCTACTTAACTTCGCAGCAGGGTGCCCAAAAGGAGGGGAAAGGCCTCATCTGTCCTCATTTCCTAATCAAAGAACTGCCTTCCTCTCCGACATTCTTCTGTTGTCCTTGTTACCCACTTGCCCTGGAGACTTCAGCGTTAGGAAGTAGCATCCCTTCCCCACAAGCCTGAGAAATCCTACTCTGATGGCCTCAACAGACCTACTGACCCAAACATGAGTTGGATGCCCAGGGAACGGGTAAAAACAAGCCACCTTTACCGCTTAGCTTTGCATGCGTTCCCAGCGTTGGCCCTGGGCTCCAGAGTAAGCCGGAGAGGTAGGCATGCCTCTAACTCCCTCTACAGGGCTGTGCCTGAGGGCAATTGGATGTGTTCCAGGGTCACCCAACTCTGCCCTTGTAGTAATCCAGGCCTTTCTTTTCAAATATAGCACTGGTTAATGTGTGGCCAATGATTTGAATGTCCTGCCTCAACAAAATCCTTCAGTCTCTCCTCTGTAGCATAACTTGGAGTAACTCTGACATGTAATTATTCAGGTTTCATACCTAAGTGAGTGATACATAAATTTGACTATCAGCATGTCTAACACACATATTTTGGGACTATATATGTGCTATTCCTTCGTGACAGTATTTACATAGTTACACAACACACCACTTGGCTCTTACATTCACACTTAGACTTTGGATTCCCCAGCTCTCAGGATGGGAAATTTTATCTATAAGTTGTTGAGCAACTTCCTCATTTATTTTAGAAAGTGTGGGACCCAGCAATTTAACAGTCTAGGATTATTTAAAGATACAGAATGGCTCCCTGGGGTCAGGGATGGAACTCGTTCCCTCGGACCCTTCCCAGACTTCCTGAGGTCGCTAAACCTATCTGTGAAGTAGCCGCCATGTGGTTCCCACTGGGGGGCACCTGAGCTCTGCTGTGTAGTTCTTCAAAGATGGTCCCTCTTTGCCCTGCCTCGACGCTTTGGACGATTCGGGCCTTGAAGCCCTCCATTTATCACATGATACTACAATGAGGCCGCCAAGTACTTCGGCTGGGGCTCTTGTTTCTAGCGCTCCTCGTGGACCAAGGCCTACATCTTAGTACCATATAGCACGTTTTTCTCCTTTGCAAAGTCAGTGTGAGAACTGCTAGTTCATTATTTTAAAAGACTACTGGAAAGTTCCACTGTAGCATTTGGGGTTTTGGTGGTGGTGGCCTGGGAGCGTGAGGGTGAAGATTAGGAAGTGGGAAAACTTCCTGCCTTTAGAATATTCATAGCCTCTCCTCTGAGAGGTTTTGGTGTAAATAATTAGCCAGGTGTGGCTTCCAAAGGTACATCCTATGTTTATCAAAGTAGGGAAATAATTTTTTGATCTCTAATGTATGAGTCTTTGGAGATCCATTTCTGTGAGGTCTTATTAAAACAATAATCGCTTAGTGCCAAAAAAACTTCGGACCTAAAACAGACAATACAACCCTATTGGTATTGGTTTTCGCTCCTTAAACAGATGTTTGCCAAAGAGTTGTATTAAATACATTTGCTTCTGCTGTGTCAGCCTTTCAGCTCATTTTCATGAAGATTACTTTAATTGATGTCAGTTATGATCAGGAAAAGCACCCATTATGCTTTTGTTTTTTAGCAAAATTTTCCATCTTAGAATATTGAGAAGGGGGGTGTGATCAAGACTTTGAAAATGGAGGTAATCATTTTATTTTCTTTCACATGTTCCTGTTCCTATTTGACTTGAAAGCTAAAGTAATCAAATGAGAACTAAAGAGGTGACTGAACAGTTTGTGCTGCTGTAACAGTAGCTACTCCTATGGCTAGGCCCGCCAGTCCACCAGACTTCACTTAAAAACATGTCCAGGAAGGAATTAACATTCTGAGTAAGAAATCCAAGGGTCTGTAAAACAGTATCAAACAGAATGCCAGGGGACGGTCTTATACAGGTACTAAAAGCTGCGATGAATAAGAAAATGTTCATGCATGGGGAAATGGGGACACCATCACTCCCCCAAG